GATCGTCGCAAAAAAGAAATCCATTTCAACGTAAGAAAGAGAAAGACAGTAAAAAGCCAACGGTTAGTGATTGGCAAATGACAAAAACCAAATAAGCAATGAGAAAAGCAAAGAAATCTGAGTGAGATAAAAAAAAATGTGCAAAAATAAATAAAAATACTTATAGAGATAAATAGAGAGAAAATATATCAATGAGAAATAAATAAAGAAAGAAAACAACTGCAAGTAAAAAAAAAAATATTTGGGAACAGAAAAGGAATGAAAAACAAAGACAAAAGTAAAAGAAATGAATCAAAGATAAAAGCTATAAAACTGAAAGAAATAATAAAATAAAATAAAACGTTACCAAAATCAATAAGGAAATTATTGAAAGAAAGAAAGAAACAAACAAACAAAGTGGGGCGATATTGTTATTTAGTAAGCTTAGTTATGGTACAAGTCCATAGTTGTGTGGTATCCAATGAGGATACACTGATGTAAGAGTTAATTAAACCAGTTTGCTAATCATTGCCTCAAGCCGTATCACTTATAGTAACGGAAAATACCGGACAGTTTAATCACAGGAAGTTGAGACTGGAGGCAACAGTAATGTGGTTCTACAGAAGGATGCTGAGGATACCACGGACGGAGCATGTAGGCAACGAGCAACTTTTAATGGAAACTTATCCTTAGAATTAGAAAGAGACAGTTGAAATTTCTGTGATACATGATGACGAAAGAGTGCTTGCGGAATTTACTACACACAGGACGTATCGAAAGCAAGAGTGGCAGAAACGGCGAATAGCAAATGGACGTCAGAATAGAGACTGGACGGCACAGTAAGGAAATCAAAATTATTTAGGCCTACGAAAGATAGGAAGTTGTGAAGAATCGTGATCGCTTGCGGCCTGAAGTTACACAGCACATAAAAGAAGAGTATTTTCACGAAACTGTTTAAATAAACTAGTGAATTTCTCTTTCGTATAGAATAATACGATTCATTGTTCTGTAGTTGAGAACTCTCACTTTATTTGGGCATAAAATGGAGAGAGGCATTTTTACTTCATATTGTCTGACCGATTTCCACATAGGCTTACAGAACCTGGACAAATACTCTTTGCCCTTAGTTTAGGTTGAGAATTTAATAGTATTGAAAATATATATTATTTTATTTTTAAATAAATATTTTAATTTTGTATTCTTTATACAGAGCACGAAATCGATGCACATTCTGTCAATAATATTATTTCGTCTACCGTAAAAACTAAAACATATCATAGCACATCTCTTAATAAGTATCGGGAAAATTACGAAATTAAAACAAAGTTTGCATAAAGACTTTTACCCAAGATTTAAATCAGTGTGCATAACAAATTCTACATTGAATTGGCTTCATAAATTTATAAATATTTCTGTAGAAACATAACCCCGCGATTCGGCTGTTTGTGCCGCATAAACGTAACCTGTCAACCAATAAAAGGGAACCTTGCTGCGCATGCATGAACAAACACTCGATTGTTATTCAAGTTCTAATAACCTAAGGGCTTTTTATGACCCGCAGGTGAAAATTCACTCGGTGTTAAGTCACCACGTTATTTATCTAGTTAATACGAAGTTAGAGTGCTTTGTTCAATAATGAGCACATTTTGTTGGATTTTCATCTAGCTTTACTCACACACACAAACACACACGCACACACAGATAGATAGATAGATAGATAGATAGATAGATAGATAGATAGATAGATAGATATCGACGAGTCGAACAACAACCCAACACATGGCTTGAATATTGCGTTCATCCATGAAAGAGACTGTCGCCAATCCGTCTGACCCCAGTGTCCACTCTTATATTTACTCATGCTCTATCCCTGATATTGAGCACTTTTACCCAAAATATAGCCCAATATGTAGCCCAATATGTAGCCCAATATATATCTTGTGCCCGACGAGTTGGGTAACCAACGAAATTGATACTGATTTAATGTGTTCTTTTGATGCGTCCAGTCTGTTTCTAACGTACCATTAAAGGAGACTATTAATATTTGTGCAGACTTGTTATATGAAGGCGACATTACTCCACTTCCTTTTCCTAAGGATGTATTTATGGAACTTATGACACCAGTTCAGTGGAGTTTAGTTTTGATAATGTCATGTACAGTCAAGTGGATGGGGTCCAGATGGGTAGACCCCTTGGCCCTGCGTTGGCTGATATTTTTGTGGGCTACCACGAGATGTTGCTCTTTGGTAAAGTGTCTAAACCGTTTGTTTATGTCAGGAGAGGATACTTTTGCAACTTTTTATAATGAAAGTGAGGCTGTTAACTTCTTTAATGAGCTTAACTCCTTACCCAAATGTTTGTCCTTCACTATGGAAGGGGAGAAGGACAATTGTCTGCCCTTTTTGGACGTTTTTGTTGAGCGTAGTAGAGGGGGTTTTCTTACAAGTATTTATCGCAAACCCACCTTTACGGGCCTCTGTTTGAATTGGCGTTGGTTTTCACCTACATCAAGGAAAATCAATCTTGTTAAAACCTTGGTGTACAGGGCACTCAAAATTTGTTCTACTAGATTGGACCGTGAATTTGAGAACATTAGGGAGATTTTCCTTAGTAACGGCTATCTGGAGGCCCCTATTGATTATATTATTAGTAAGAAGACTAAGGAATTTCATTCCCCTAAAGTCCAGGGGCCTTCTAAATGTCCGGTGTATTTGAAGATTCCCTGGATTGGGGATAAGGTCCAAAATTTAATTAAGCAAGTTTCCGGTTGTTTCCCATCAGTTGCTTTACGTTGCATTTTTCGGACTAGGTCTGCGTTTTCGTCGTTTCGCAAGGATGAATTGCCCTACATCAAATTGAGTAATTTAGTATATGAGTTTAGTTGCCAGTGTGCTGCTGGTTATGTGGGGCGTACAACCTTGCATTTGGAAACTAGAATCAACCAGCATGTATCTTCCAAAATACGACTTGGTAAGATAGATAAAATGTGCTATCTTCCCTCCATAAATATGGAATCGGCTATTGCTCAACATTTAGTTGAGAATATAGCCTGTGCCAAGTCGTGTACAAAAGAGTGGTTTAAAATCATTCATACGGCTGGTTCCAACAATCATTTGAAGATTTTGGAATCAGTCTGTATAGGATTAAGGAAACCTTCTCTCTGCCGGCAGAAAGAATTTGTAAAGTCCCTTAATCTGTTGGGGGATATTTTATTTTAACTGTCCCTCGCTTATTTATTTACACGTTATTTCCCCTCCCCTCGTTACAAGTATATACACTTGTTTGTTATTTTAGTGTGTTTCCCCCCCTCTTTTTTTGCTCTTTATTTTCGTTACTGTTCTTTTCGTTAATTAATGATCCACGATTGTCTCCTGATGAGACGTTGGCTGAAAGGGCCTTAGAGACTAATAAAATTAAAATCAATAAATTCCTTTTTTTTTTATATAATATATATATATATATATATATATATATATATATATATATATATATATATTCACCTCGGTTCGGCATAAATATTTAATATAAGTACGCGTCAGTGAATGTTTGATTCAACGCAATCAATAAGTGTTCAGCTAATTGAAGGTTTCAATTGCCAGACGCTATCTTTGATATGATCATATTTGATAAAACGTTTGCTCATGTCTGTTTACAAGATCTGAATTAAAGCATGGTTTCACTATTTACATTATTAGGACTATTGTCCTCATCTTTGTTGCCATATTTATCACAACGTTTCGGTCGATGTACGCTCCAGCCTTCTTCAGGTGATTGGAATGTCGAACTGAACCCTTTATTTCGCTCGCTGGGGTAGACTGTTCTAGTTCCACGTGCCATGTCTAATGGATATCAGTTATCACCTGTTAATTCCCCTCTCCAAGTTCTCCACTGCCTTAACCAGATATTGAACTCACAACTCTTTGATTCCTGTCACTGGAAAGGTTTCGGATTAACCGTTATCTTGCCCACATATCCGCATAAACTATGCTTCTTACTCTCTAACACTCTACCTACAGTGGCTCCTATGTCTTGTACAGAGTTAACCTCACTGTAAAGAAAAAATACTCACTTCTAAGAAAACAACTTTGTTCGAGATTTTTCCATTTTCTAAGATCGTTACACGGAATTAAAACTCAGACCTTTGGTCATTTTCCTTATTACTGATCTGTGCTGGCAATTTAATTATTGTGCATGTTTTATGGAATTATTTATAATGTGAATTCATTGATTTCTACAAGGAGACACACGTATGGCACAGTTGCATTTGTTTAGCGCGTAAATTTTGTTATGCAAATTTCTACAAGTTTGTTGTTCTTTTGCTTTCATTGGTTTTGGCAAATTTCGTTTTTTATGATTATTATAAGCTGAAGCAAAATGGTGGAGGGTAGAACATGTCGGCATTATGGTGTCCGTCAGCTGTTATTGTCAGGTTGACGACAGTGGTTGTATTAAATAAAATAAAGACGAAAAATAAGAAAAATATTTTTACATTCACCGAAATAAATGACAAAAAAAGAGACTAAAGAAAATATGGCGTATGGATTAATATCGTCTGTTAAAATTTATTAATTTTAGACTTGACCCTGAAGACTGACACAATTTTTAATGTACTTTGCCAAGAATGCATTTCTACTTTCTGAAATATTTTTATTTTATTTTTATTTTCCTTCTTTATTTATTGTTCTTTTTGTTCGTTCTTTCTTTTTTCTTACTTTCTTTTTCGTTCTTTCTTTTTTCTTACTTTCTTTTTCGTTCTTTCTTTTTTCTTACTTTCTTTTTCGTTCTTTCATTCTTCTCTACACTTTCTTCTTGTTTCTTTCTTACATTTTCTTTTTTGTGAATTTTCTTTCTTTTTACTTTCCTTTTCTTTCCTCTCTTACTTTCCTCTCACTCCTTTTCTTTGTTTCTTTTTGTTTTCTTTCTTTCTCTCCTATTTGTCTGTCTTCATTGTTTCTGCTATCCGCTTTTCTTTGAATGTATGAATTCTTTCTTGTTTTTCAGAAAACTTCCTTTTTTTCTTTCACTTTCTTTCATTCTTTTCTCTCTCTTTTTTTTTTTATCCCGCATCCATTAGGTTTATTCATCTTACTCTTCCTTTTCTTTTTTAATGGCTTCTTTATTCATCGTATTTATTTCCGCTTTTTTAATATTAAAAATATGGTTATTCTTTTTTGTCGTTTTACTGTAATAATTAATGATAATCATTTAAGAAAGAAAGAAAAATGTAAACAATTTTCTTTCTTTCTTTCCGTTATTATTTTTATTTAAAAAAAATAGTCTAAAATAAATAAAATTGTCTAAAAATAGTCTTTTTCTTTTCGTATTTCTTGTTTTTTTTATTTCTCTCTTGTCTTTTCTTTATTTCCTTCCTACAACTTTTTCTTTTTTTATCTTTTATTCTCTATTCTTTTTTTCTTTCTTTTTATCGGTATTTTCTTTGAAGTTTCCCATCCGCATTAATTTCTGTGTACCTCCCTAATGTACCATTCTATTTCCTTTCTCTATTTCTTTCTCGATATCTCAGTACCTATTCAAATAATTATATTCCTTATAATATTTGTCCATGATTCTTTCTTTCTCTCTTATTATTCTCACATTGATCTTCTCATCTAATAGAGTTATACTCCCTGAACAATATGCAAGCTTTTGCCTACTCTATTCTTCAATATTCTCGCTTCCTTTTTTTTTTTTCCTCTGCAAGATTTCTCCACACACCCAACCCTATAAACTATTCCTTGCTATTCCGGCCATTGTATAGCCGTCATAACAATTCCAAATAACATAAACAAGGGACTATTGAAATGTTTACAGTACCTCATTGGTTGGGCCTCTTATGGCGCAGGGGCGAAGGCAAACGCTTCACTGATTCCATAATGGGGTCTGTTAGTGGTCTGAGGGAAGTTTGGGCCCAGTTGACGTCAACAATCGGGACGTGCCAGATATGGACGACGCGGTTCATTGAAATTTACTGGAAGAGACGGGCCAAATTGGTAAAAACGTAGCATGCGAGAAAGTTAATGAAGTGAAACGTTGTTGAATAAATAAATTAATGAATGAATGGAAATGAAAATTTGAAGGCAAGAAAAAAAGGAAAATAAAAGGATAAAATTACAATACGAGGAAAATTAAAAATATGAATAGTCTTTAGAAAGTGTAAAATTGGATGTTATTATTAAGACGAAAGAAAGAAAGAATGAAAGATAGATAGATAGATAGATAGATAGATAGATAGATAGATAGATAGATAGATAGATAGATAGAAAATAACAATTCGTAAAAAGAAAGAAAGTGATCAAAACATTAGAAAAGTGAAAGAAAGAGACGTAAAAAGAAAAAAAATCTTATTTCAAGAAAAACGAAAAAGACAGGAAATAAAAGACACAATGAGGAATAAAACAAGAATGGAGAAAAATGATTTAATTTCTGTTGAACCAAAATGAATAAAACGTTTATGTATTCATCGGTAAAAAAAAAACAATAAAAATAAAATAGAAACCAACACTGTTCGAATCTAGTCATAAATGTCGCTTATCTTGATTGAATTAATAAAACTCATTTTAAATGGGCACACCAATTTGCAATGACATTTATTACAATAATATCAATAATGTAAAGGAACACGAAAGCAGCAATTATTGCACGAGCCGCAATAATAATCAAAATATATGATAATAATGATAATGAAGACTTGTCTAGGCGGACACATTGGTAACGTGTGTGTTAACTGTTTTTCATTCTTAGGATCAATCGCCAATATTTTCATAGCAAGCACGCTGATCATCCTCAGAAGAATACATTATATAGTTTAAATCAAAGTATTTTTCATATTAATTATTTATCTATTAGCGTTTTTTATTTCAGAGGTGACGTGGTCAATTAATTGCTTATGACATACTGTTGAATTAACAAACTATTTGGACGAAATCAATTCTTCTGTTTTATATTCGATAAAAGAATGAAAATTAAATTTACATAAATAGTATATTATAAACTAACCGAGAGTTACGATAAACTGCAGCAAAATAATATTTAAAACTAAACAATAAAGAATAATGACACTACTTTAGAAAATTTAATATTATTATGTATTCTTTTATTAGATTAGAATTTAAGCGTCTCATCAGGTTTTGGGAGCCGGGAAACCAATAGAATGACTTCAGATTAGATAGAGATCAGTTATAACAAATTTATTATAGGAAATAAGGAAGCTGAATTCAGGATAGGTTGTACTATAAGTACCTTTTTTCAACACCATCAGATACTACAAAAGCAAAATATTAACCTGAAAACTCGAATAACGTTCTTAAATAAAAAAAAAAATAGCCTCATCAGGTTTAGACTGTCCTAAAAATGTCATGTATGGCGACCAACTCGCTCAGCAATATGGCTTCATGCAAATTAATTATTTATGTTTTCAAGAAGACAATTTTATCCAATAGACTGGTGCTCCAAAATCACAAATTACTTTAATAAATAATAAAAACAAAAAAAAAATGCATTAAACAATTGCAACAATAACGACAAACATGAGTTGCACATTTGACTCGATTCATCCCATCACCATTATCGCCACAAACTCTGAAACGCCAGTATCCAAAAACTAGAATCCGATTTTTTGCCGTTATGTTTTGTCCAATGTTACCAAAGAGAGTTCATAGGTTGCCGATCAGACTGAGTAACCATCGTCATCGACTGATTGCCGTGTCCTTTCAGCACGTGGGTGATCATGGCTCTCTACAACTTCCTATCATTTCTTATATCTCAGCAATGTTTATCTTTTGATTATCTATCCCACTCATTTTTCTGCCATCTTTTTTCATAAGTTCATTAGGTTTGTTAGTGTCACTGTTTCCCCTCTTGAATTCAATATGACGCGTGTCAAATTCGACATGCCTCATTATTTGTCCTAGAAAACTGATCTGTCTCTTTCTGATTCTAAGTATAAGTGTCCTTTTTGTTTTTATTTTCCTTAAAACTTCCTTGTTGCTCTCTCACGGGCCCTATCTAGAATATTCTCAGCATCCTTATGTTGAACAACATCTCTATTATCGCAACTCTCTTCTCCATCTAGGAAAAACATTTCACAACATTCACTGCCAAAAAATTATGATTGATATTACACAACAGTTTAGCCCTTTTTTTCTTTGCTTGTAATACAATTTTTGTTGCTTAACTTTTGGAAAGCTTCTTCCACTATTCCAATCTACCTTCGGATTTCGGTGTCACATTTTCACGTAGTGTTCTCCAATATGTTTACTTCAATAAGTAGCCTTAGAATAATTACATATGGTCTTCATTGAGACGTTGATCTTATTTCGTCTTATTAATACTGATGTTGTTGACCTTGCAGCATAATGTTTGGGCCGGTAATAAGAAAGTTTATTGGTCTTCAGTTAAATGATTATCTTAAATATATTTACTTATTGCAATACGCATAATGTGGAGAGATTTACATTTACATTTTAAGTTTCCAATATGTATTTTGAACTAAAAAAAAGTAGTTGATATTGGATACTTGGCCAAAAAGTTAACAGTCAAGAAATTAGTCTCTCAAGCCATTACGTCTTTCATGAATACAAGCTTCACAAATTGCCCAATACTTGTGTTGTACCTCAGCCCTTCAGCACTCTGTTATTATCACTTAGCTTTGCACGTGGAAGGATTAAGAACGCCCCTCGCATTGTGTCATTGTCTTGTTTTCAGCACTTCTCTCTTAATTATTTCTCCTTCTCCTTACTTCACTTATTAAGCTGATAGCTTATTTTTATGTTTTTCCCGCCCGTTTCGATATTTAATGGTCACTTCGCAAATAAGTCTACAAAATGTTAACTAATTTATCATGAAGATTTTGTTTGCCAATATTTATCATTATTTTAAAGTTGTCATTATTATTATTATTATTATTATTATTATTATTATTATTATTATTATCCGGAGATTGACACACGCACCATTGAATACAGTATTCAAAGTTTATCCTTCGCTTGCCTACCATACAATATTGACCTAAAAGACTTCGGATTAATTCCTTTAAAAGATACTTAATTTTTTGCTCCTGCATTCAAGTAAATTATTCAAAATTATATATTTCTCATTTGGCGCTCCACACAACTTTGGCATGCTCCAAATCATGCTCAAGTTTGTGTATACACGCAAACACACACACACACACAAACACAGACACACACACACACACACACACACAAACACAGACAGACACACACACACACACACAAACACAGACACACACACACGTACGCGCGTGCGCGTGTTTGTTTAAAAACACTTGTAAGCTGTTTCCATATACATCCAGGATTTGTGAACTTACAGTTCAAGGATTTCAAAATTTTCACCTCTCTTGACTTTGTGGACATTTTTTACGATAACTATATCGAAATTATCTCTTAATATCGAATTCCAGATTGTTCCATTGATTAAATAGTTTATTCATTTTCGCCATTTCATATTTCAATTTAAATTTGTTGATTTTAATCTAACCCCGCACGTCCTTTTTCCATTCTATGACCGTTAATTAAGGCGGTGTGAACCGGAAATAAATAAATATTATTTCCTGACATCTTTGACAGTCCGTTTGGACAACAGATTACCGATTACATAATGGCGACACACCAGAGGTTGACTTTCAAGCCTAGTTATATAGCTACATTCTTCCTTATTTGATTTTCTTCGAACCGTATTTTGATAGCAGTAGTAGTAGTGTTAAGTTGAAAATTCTTAAATAAAATCGACAATAATCAAATGAAAGGTAAACTAGACGAAACGAATAATGAAAACGAATTATAGAAGAAATTCAAACATTTCAGTTTGTTGAAAAAATTATATTTACTTCTAGACGCATTCAGAAATTTGAATGTATTACAATTTAAAATAATTGAATGCATCAAAAGTGTTTTCGCTTCATACAGCCCTTTATGGAAAATTTAATTTCGACATTATTGTTATTAATATTATTACTGTACATAACATTTCATTTTCAATTTAGCTGTACCTTTTGTTTTCAGATGTTTTAATAGTGAACAGAAGTTTTGAGATTTTGGTAATTTTGAGGAATTATTTAAAACTGGGTCTGAAATAGTTGAAGCCGCTCGCAGAATTTAAGAAGTAGACGGAAGTGACACAATATCTGACAGTTACTGACAAAATATGATCTCAGAATTTTAAAGGTACTTCTTGTTTGTTTTTTTTTAATAAAAAGCATAAGTAAAAGAGCACTTTACACTCACTTTTTATATATATATATATATATATATATATATATATATATATATATATATATATGAGAAAAATTGCTTTGCACTGTCACTCATTATATATATATATATATATATATATATATATATATAGTATATGTACAGTACTTGTCAAAAATGAGTGACATTGTAATGTAATTTTTCTTCATGCTTAGTACATGTTATTTACTAACTACTTGCGCGTGAAACGTTTTTTGATCAGGTTTATTTTGAAATAATTTTGACTAATATTCTTTTGAAATTTCTTGTTTCTTAAACATTTTACTAATATAACATCAGAAAAAGAAGTATATGTGAATCGAAACTAGATTATAAAAAAATTACAATTAGTTTTTCGACAAATTAATCACGAAATATATTTTCTTATCAGGTTTTCTTTAAAAATTCGTTAAAACTCCCATGGATTTCTTGATTTTGTTTAGCGGATTATCAACTTTTATGACTATTTAATGCAGATATCAAAATATTTCGTACGCAATTTTATGCTTTCAACTACAGATATTTTGTACATATTTTATATTTTCAGGGTAAATGCATGTTTTTTTAATATATTTAGTTTCTAGATAAAATGTATTGTTGCTATTTTTTTTTTAAATGTATTGTTGGAAATTTCACTACAAAATGTATTGCTACAATTTGACTATAAAAAGTTATTTCTATACTTTTTTAGTTCTGTATTGATTGTCATTTTCCTATAAGAAATATATTGTTGGTAATTTTACTATAAAAATGCACTGTTGATTTTTAATTGAGGGTTCACTGTTTGCCCATAGCTGAGACCTTAATAAGTGCTACCAACCCGGGTCAGGGTGGATCTGGGAACAGCAGTTAAGAGGTGATAACATTCTCCTCATTCCCCCGCTCAGAGGCCTTGCTGCCTAATGTAGTTTATATTCATATCCAGGGCGGGCTTATGTATGTGGATACGAAAGGGTACAATTAAATATATATATATATATATATATATATATATATATCTTTATTACTTAAGACGTAATCTTCAGTGGATACCCGTATTTGAGTAGACACTATGTTAAAAACTTAGTAAAGAAAATGTGCCACCGGGAGG